GCAGTGACGGCAATGGTGGTGAAGGCAACAACTCCCATGATCCCACGCTACTTCACCGCATCATCAAACTTCATCTTTTGTTATTGTTTTGTGGCAGAGTTGTACCTTTAAATTCAATGAAAAACACATACACTACATACAATATAGTTGAATATGGTCCAGATGGGTAACTGGAGTGGATCACTGTATATGTGCAATGTTAAAGGGTATTGTGCAAATAAAAGGAAAAAACTGTTGTGCTTGGCAGGTTAATGAGTGACAGTTCAGTGAGCAGAGTCCGCAGAGGTACGAGGATCTGGGTGCTGTGGCGTTGTGGAGTCCAATGGCTGACGGCACAAATGAGGGGCTGGATCGGTCAAAGCCAGTTTTATAGCCAGTTTGTCTGCAACCTTGTTTCCCTCCATTCCTACCTGTGCTGGTATCCAACAGAAGTATATAAACAGCTGTTGTAGGCTCAAAAATCATATATAAGAGCTCATTTCTTACTGCTTGTCCTGACTTGTATTGCGGCTACTGAACCTTTGACTGGTGGGACCTCCTCTACCCACTGAAGACTGACGATTGTTGCTATCATATGTGTACAGTTGTGGTCAAACGTTTTGAGAATGACACAAATCTCCCTCTTTGCCATGAAAATGAACTTAATCCAAAAAAAAACAAAAAAAAAACATTTCCAATGCATTTCAGCCCTACCACAAAAGGACCAGCAGACATCATGTCAGTGATTCTCTTGGTAACACAGGCGAGAGTGTTGATGGGGACGAGGCTGGAGATCACTCTGTCATGCTGATTAAGTCAATAACTGACTGGAAGCTTTAATAGAAGGGTGGTGCTCGACATCATTGTTCCTCTTCTGTTAACCATGGTTACCTGCAAGGAAACACGTGCAGTCATCATTGCATTGCACAAAAAGGGCCTCACAGGTATTTTGGTGCTAGTAAGATTGCACCTAAATAAATGTATTGGATCACCAAGAACTTAAAGAAGAGAGGTTAAATGTTTGTGAAGAAGGCTCCAGGGCGCCCAAGAAAGTCCAGCAAGCACCAGGACCGTCTCCTAAAGTTGATTTAGTGGCTTAAATAGGGCCTTTTTCAACACAGAAAAAAGGACAGATAATCACAGAAATTATGGTGTTATTTGATTTGACGAAATATAAATGCTGAATAAGTCAAATGTTTTTATTTGTATTGAAAATGTTCTGAGATGTTTAAAGAGAAAAATATCTGTGGAAAGTGTGGAACAAAATAATATCAAAATCGCAAAATCCAAATCTACGGAAGCCCTAAAGGGCCATGCATTCATACATTTTATAATAAATAAAATATGTTACATTAAAGTGT